AAAAAAATAAATATTAAAAATTCTCTCTCTCACGCTCGCCTGGCATGCGTGCAGCCCGGGTTCGATCCTCAGCACCACATACAAAGATGTTGTGTCCGCGGAGAACTAAAATAAATCAATATTTTTAAAAAAAGAGATATAAGTATACATTCTATATATAGTCAGATCCACAAATAGAATGAAGAATTTTGACCAATGTATATATTATAGATCCCAGTAACCATCACCTAGAGCAAGATTTCAGATATTTCCACCAGCCCTAAATTCCCTTGGGCTCCCTCACAGTCAGTCCCCACCCCAGAGGCGACCATGGTACTGATTTCTGTCACCATAGGTTAGTTTCCTGAGCATGCATATGAGCTTTACAAATTTAAAAGAAATACATCTCCTACCGTAGAAGGAGGAAGTGGACAAAAAATTCTTACTGTACAAAGAAGGTTATTTGAACTAAAAACAAAACAAAACAAAAACCTAAGGAATCATTGGCCAGAGAAACCGGAGGTTTTGGAGGCAACCCAATGCCTTAGCATTGGGACAGAGGGCTTGGGACACTTCTTGGAGCAGAGGCCGTGAGTGGCGTGGGGTGGGGAAGATGACCAGCCAGGCTCCTCTGTGTTCTGATAAAAGGTTCCTCCCCTGCCCAGCAACTGCCTGAGTTTTGAGCAAGGCCAAGGCCAGGAGGAAGGACGCTCTCAAGGGCATCTGCCCAGAGACAGGGAGAAGTTAGGGCCCCTGGGCAGTTAGGTTATTTGTCTTTCCTGCCTTCCCTTTCAAGGTCTGTCTGATTTTGTGCCTCCTTCACACACAGTCCTGCCTGGGGAGGGGAGAGGCTGAGGCTCTCAAAGGGACTTAGAAGGAGAGAGACAGAGTTCTGCCTGCCTGCCTTTTTTCCAAAACACCGATTTGAGCGCCTACATTGTGTGGCAGCTCCTGCCAGCTGCTGGGGATCGGAGAATGACAGACATGTTTTAGCTCGCTAAGGAGTCAGAATTGGCTCCAGGTGAGGCAAGGCCTCTACCTCCTTCATGGTGGAGATGATGGCCCAAACAGGTGACTTATTCAGGAACAACAATCTGTTGGAGCAGGGAGGCAAAGAATGGTGCCCCCTGATTCAACCCTAGCCAGGAATAAGAAAGCAAAGGAAATAAAACCTATGTCCTTCTCTGGGCTTTCTCCCTTGCAGATTTTCTAGGGCAGTGGAAAGAGCACTGACCCGAAGTCAGAAGACCTCATTTCTGCTTCTAGGTCTTAGAAGCACTTCCTCTTTCTGGGCCCCAGTCTTTTCCCGTGAACATGAAGAAGGCCGTCTCCAGAGGCCTTCAAAGGGTGCTTCCAACTCTGCCTTACCTGAGTGTACCCTGCATTTTTCTGCCTCAGTGCCTTTGCTCAGGTCATTTCTGCCACTGAAAGCCCCTTCCCTCCCGCTTCCTTCTTCTGACAGTCTCTTCATCACGTATGACCTAGTTAAGGTGCTGCTCCTAGAGACCCCCAGCCTTTAGGGATCTGTGAGTGTGTCATCCAGATCCCCACTCCCAGAACAGAGCCTCCTCCCTGTGCGCGGCCTTCCCAGTTGTGTCAGTCATTGTTGGAACAACTGAAGTGAATTCTTGCTCCCACCCCACACTTCCACAGGCCCCTTTTCAACTTCAAGAAATTGATCTCATCCTTCCTCAGGGCCTCCAAGGACACTATGCCTTCGTGCTGGGCAGGCCAGCCCAGGCCTGAGTGTCACACTGCAGTGCTTTGGGCACAAGTAACTGCCTTGGGAGTTGACCCTAGAAAGGACAAGAAAGACAGGCAGGGCCGTAGACAGAAAGATGGCTGCCCCACCTTACCTGTCCTGTCCTCATTCTTGAACACCTGGACAGAAATCCCTCAACAAGTACAGGGCTTCCACCCCCACCAGACTCAAGCCCACTCCCACCTGCCTGCCCACAAACAGACCAGCAAGTTTGCAAAAATATACCCCGACAACCTTACCCTTCCTGTAGATGGGCCTCACCCACACATGTGCATGTGTTGCACAGATACCCAGGGACACACACAGACACACATAATGGGCAGCACAGACGTGGAATATAAGCATCTGCTTTCAAGTATGAGCATGCAGCCCCCCCACACACACATGCACACTGAGCACACGCTTACCCAGATGTGATCACATGGGCACACAGACACTCGGGTACATACACGATTACACATGCATGCACACTCTACACACCATGTGGGCTCCTCCCCGCCAGCTCTCAGGGCATCCCAGCTCATACCTGTTAAGTTGAGGTTGCTCCAAGGGAGAGGGCCACCTTCTGGGTGCTCAGTTTGCTGGCTTCTGACCGTCTCTGGATTTCTGTCAAACTGGGATCTTTTGTATTAACTGTCCTTTCTGGTGGCCCTGTGGGAATTAGAGAAGGCCTCAAGAGCTGTGGGTTCACTCCGGGGCAGCCCTGCTTGGGTGACTGACAGGAATGGGAGATGGGAAGGGGGATTCTGATTAGTATTGCATCGTTTTTGTGCATGGATGTCTCCGTGGTGCTGTGGTTTTGTGGGACCAGTAACACGAGGCTGGTCGCTTTGCTGTCCCTGCCACACTCCTCACCAGGTCCCACCCACTTTCCCCAAGGTTCTCTGCTGTGGGGAGGTGGGAAGGTTTGAAGAAGGCCCAGTCCCAAGGTTGAAGTGGCAGCTCTGGGACTGACAGCAGAGCCAACCTCAAATGGAAGGGTGACTTCTCTCAGACTCCCCCATGTCAGCATAGCAGTAACCCAGAGGCCAGCCAGGTTGAGGGCCATCCAAGTTTGAGCAAAGAGGAAGCTTAGACTCCATTAAATTCCTTCCATCTAAGGTCCCTGAGCCTGGAGCTGGTGCCTGGGGTGGTGCTGGGCTGGGCAGGGAGGGCGAGGGTGCGTAAGACACAGTGACTCCTGCGAGTGCCCTGCGTGAATCTTGGGTGGAGCCTGGGGAATACCCCACGGGCAGAGGAGTACTACCTGTCTGATCTTCTTGTTGTGTGCCCTGTTTTGGTCACTAACACCAGGTGGCATGGTGGCTGGGGGCAGATACCTGGGGGCCACTGCAGATTCTCCCCTCTTCTATACCATCCCACCAGACCTCATGTCCCATGGGGTTTTCTTGTCCCATCTAGACCCTCCTCAGGCCTCATTATCACTGCCTTCCTGTGGGTCAGAACCTCCCTCCCAGGGCTTCTAATGGCAGAGGGAGGGCAGGAAATCCCCCAGGCTTATCCCATGCTCCTGCATCCTCCACACAGCTGCCAGAATGGTCAGCCTCAAACACACAGCTCATCTGCAACTTAGGATCCTTCACTGGCTCAAATGGAGGCCCGAATTCCTGGCATGGCACAGCCAGCCATATGCAGAACAAGCAACTCTCAGCCTGTCCCCGACTCATGTTATATTACAGCCTCACTCAATACCCCTCCCCAGCTCACCATGTTGGTGTTCATCCCCAAGCCTTGTGTGTGCTATTCCCAGGCTGCCTTCCCTCAGTGACCTAGAAAGGACCTTCTCATCTCTCCAGATTGAAGAGGTCCTTCTTGGCCTCTGTGAGAGCACATTTTCTAATAATGCTCACCATCATTATTTAAAAGCCAGTGTTTCTACAGGCACACACCAGACACCATTCTACTGTTGTGATGCTCGTGTGTGTGTGTGTGTGTGTGTGTGTGTGTGTATACATATAGATCAACTTATTTAATCCTCATAACAACCTTGATAGGTACTATCATTACTATCTCCATCTTATAGATGGGAAAACTGATACACAGAGAGTTTAAATGACTACCTAGAGGGACATGCCAAGTAAGTGATAAAGTGAGATCTCTCCACAGCCAGTTCTGCAGAAGGATCTATGCAGTTAAACCCAGCACTGTGCTGTGCCTCTTCATTCACTGTTAGGGGTAGATTGCCAACTTGAACAGCTTTGAGCAACCAACATCCTCTGAGGTGATGAATGAACAAATTCATTAACATTTAATGGGGGCTGGGGTTGTAGCTCAGTGGTAGAGCGCTTGCCTAGCATGTGGGAGGCACTGGGTTCGATCCTCAGCACATAAAAATAAAAAAATTAAATAAATGTATTTTAAAAAAATTTAATCGGATGAAGAAATAAGTCTCATCTTCATTTATGTAAGATGTCTGTCATACCAAAGCCATTTTATTTTTTAATAGAACATAGAATATTTTATTTTTTTATTTTTTATTTTTTATTTTTTTTAGAGAGAGTGAGAGAGGGGGACAGAGAGAGAGAGAGAGAATTTTAACATTTATTTATTTTTTCTTAGTTCTCGGCGGACACAACATCTTTGTTGGTATGTGGTGCTGCTGAGGATCGAACCTGGGCCGCACGCATGCTAGGCGAGCGCGCTACCGCTTGAGCCACATCCCCAGCCCCCACATAGAATATTTTAAACCTGTAATCCCAGTGATTTGGGGGACTGAGGCAGGCAAGTCTGAGGTCAGCCTACACAATTTATGCAGACTCTGTCTCAAAAAATAAAAAAGGGCTGGGGATGTAGCTCAGTGGTAGAGGGCATCTGAGTTTAATTCCAAGTACCCACTCCAACAAGACTATTTAGGGAAAACAAGACCTGAGAGTAAAATCCCATACATCTTCAGTCTTTTAAAATGGAATTCCTAGACTCTCCAAGCCTATGTTTTTTCTAGTTAGTCAAGAGAGTCCTCCCCATGACCCCCTAATGACTTGCTTACCCTGGGGCAGATGTCAGCTATGTACTGAGCCACCCCCAGGGAGACAGACCCACTGAGAAGTGACCTAATGCAAGATGGATTGTGACAGATGTCAAAAGAGCATCACATCTCAGTTCCTGAGCTGGGGACAGAGTCATTCCAACCAGGGATGCCTGTGAGGGCTGTCTGGAGGGGGTGAACCGAATCTTAAAAGATCTGAATCACCGAAGGGAAGTTTTCAGGCAAGTTCAGAAAGTGTTTGCACCCCTAAATATTTGGTAGTAGGAAGGGCAGTGCGGGAAGGCAGAAGACAGAGGGATGATGTGAAGGCCTGTGAGGCCGGGGGACAGGGAAGAGTCACACAGTGAAGCATCAGGGACTAAAATCTCCTGAACTTCTACCCTGGGTAGCCACAGAGCTTTGGACAGTGGCTGACATTTCACCTTCTCTGCTATCTTTTTTGTAAACTGAGTACTTGAGCCTGGGAGAGCCTGGGTTGACTCTTCAACCCAAGAGACTGGGCTCCTCACCCCACCTGCCAACCTGCGCTCCCTTCTGCCAGCTGGTGTCGCTTGGAGGATGTGTCTCAGCTCTGGCGCTTGCTAGCTAGGTATGCCATTTAACCTCTCTGGGCCTCCGTTTCCCACATGAGTTCATTGCTGAAGATTAAATTCATTAAGGCAGTTAAAACATCTAGAACATGGTCTAACTTCCATTTAGACCTGGGAGATATGAGCAAACCCTGTCACTGTCCCCAAAGGTCTTCAAACCAAGGCAAAATTTCATGGGACTCTCCTACTTCTAGGCCACAGGATTATATTGTTGCCACTGTCCCTCTCTTGGTCTCAGAGTCCCTCAACAAGTGACCTGAGTAGTAACCTTCTTGCTCACCGAATTCCTTGAGTCAGCCACCCTCTCCACGGGCCCCTCTGTACTGATAATGGCTTCCTGGGGTAAGATCTTTTGCTCTGTGCCCACAGGGCCTGGACAGGAAAGCCAAGCAACATGGAAGTCTGACCAAACAGTGTTGGGGAGAGCACAGGGCACACAGCCAGTGCAGTGTGAAGATAACCAGGTTGTTGACATCAGAACTGAGTCCCAGAAGACTGGCACTGGTGCCTCTGCAGCTCCCTGGGGGCAGCTTACACCCCTGCATGTTGCCAAGCTTGGGAAATACCTGTTGGTTGCAATTCAGCATCTGGCCATGCAATGGCAAGCTTCAAGATGGCTACAAACTAGATTGGGGTAGAACAGATAGGGCCTCCTGCAGTAAAGGGGCAGGTGGAGGAGGCGGTGGCTTATAAAACAGAACCGGGAGCTGGGTGTGGTGGTGTGCACTTACAGTCCCAGCTACTCAGGAGGCTGGGGCAGGAGGATGGCCTGGTCCCCTGAGTTTGGGGCCAGTCTTGGCAATAGAGTAAGACCCCATTTCAAAAAACACGGAGCAGGGCTGGGGATGTGGCTCAAGCGGTAGCGCGCTCGCCTGGCATGCGTCCGGCCCGGGTTCGATCCTCAGCACCACATACCAACAAAGATGTTGTGTCCACCGAAAACTAAAAATAAATATTAAAATTCTCTCTCTCTCTCTCTTAAAAAACAAAAACAGAAATGGCAGAGCCTGGCCCAATGAGCTGCTCCTAGGAAACAGTGAAGATTGGGATGATTCCCTTTCAACAACCAGATTTACCCCCACCCTATCTAGCCATTCTCATTCATTTCTGGGGCTTTCTCCTAACATCCCCATCCTGCACAGCCTTCTCTTAGATCCCTGGAACATGAAGATAAACTTCTCTATGGTAGAGCTGAGATGATGGAGTCAGCTTAAAAAGTTAAACTCTGGGCAGAAGGCTTAATTTACTTTGGGATAGGGACTAAGGGGAGAAAAAAGGGAGGAGGTAAGATGGTCTTTTTGTTGTTGTTGTTGTTTCTTGGAATTGACACCCCCCCCCCCCCGCCCCGTGCTTTACCACTAGCTACACCCCCAGTCCCTAGGGTCTAGCTAAATTGCTAAGGCTGGCATGACCGTAATCCCAGCGACTCAGGAGACTGAGGAAGGAGGATCTTGAGTTTAAAGCCAGCCTCAGCAAAAGCGAGGTACTAAACAACTCAGTGAGACTCTGGCTCCAAAGAAAATAACAAAATAGGCTGGGGGTGTGGCTCAGTGGTCAAGGCCCCTAAATTCAATCTCTGGTACCCACCACCAAAACAGAAAGAAAGGATTATTTACAAGGTACTTTGTAGAAAATACAGAGAAAAGTGGAAAGATACTGTACCAGACAAGCCGGTAAACTCACACGCATAATTTACATAGAATATAGAGCCTCCATCTAAGGGTACATTTTGATGAGTTTTGATGAATATGTTGCTATGTAACCTCTACCACAACATAGATTCATTACTTCACTCCAAAAATTTCCTTATTCATTTTACAATAAATTCTTACTTGACCCAAGCAACCACTAATCTACTTTCTGTCACTATGGATTAGATCTGCATTTCTAAAATTTTCAGATTGCCTGGAGGGGTGGCCCATGTCTGTAATCCCAGAGGCTTGGGAGGCTAAGGCAGGAAGATGAAAAGTTCAAAACCAGCCTCAGCAACTTCATGAAACCCTCAGCAACTTAAAGAGAACTAATCTCAAAATAAATAATAAAAAAAGGCTGGGGATATGGCTCAGGGGTAAAAC